AGAATAAGGAATAAGTCGTTCGTGATGTATGAACTTTGAATCAAACTGTAAGGCAAAATTGAATTTGTCTTATCGCTCTGATCTCTAATTCCCAAAACATAGACCCAGTAAATATAGATATATAACTAGAATAAACAACAGTACGACTCCTGTCTTCTCCGCTACAGAAGAACTCGTCCTCTCGAGCACCATATGAAGATGCTTCTCTTGCACAACAAATCTGTTTACAAACGTTCTCTCGCACCTGAACCGGCTTGCGGCGTTCACCCACTCTGACCTCTGGATGTGTTAAGAGGTCAGATGAAGGTCAGTGAGAGTGAATCAAATATACAGAGAGACCGATTCAGTAGGTTGCCTACATTTTCCTCCTTCCTCCTAAGTGGGTCTTCATATAACTGACTCTCCTGTCTCGAAATTTTTGCACCGTAATGTTAGTGAACCGGAGGGTACGATTTCTTTTATAACTATTGTGATTAGGATGATATTTTTCAATATATGCATACATGTACAATGCCGTATTTTGTTGATATATTTACTACCATTTTTGTTGTCATTTTTATGTCTACTATTTATTTTGTTGTTAACATTCTTACTGTGTGTGCTATTATTTTTGCAGTCAACATCGTTATCATTATTGTTATTATTATCAATATTATTATTATTTTTACATTATTATGACTATGATTGACATAATTTAAACAACAACAATGAAGACAGGATAATAGTAAGTAATAACACTGATAATAATAAATGCTAATGATAACGATGGTGATGGTAACAATAATAATGAAAATAATAATAATAACAATTTTATTGATAATTATAATGACAATAATAGGAAGGATATCCACAATATCAGCAATATAGGAGATAGTAATAATGATTGTAATAGTAATAATAATAATAATTATTATGATAATAAAACATCAATAACCTTAACAATGAAATTTACAAAGATAAGAATTATAATGATATTGATAATAATGATGGCCATAGTATTAATAGCGATAATAGAGGTAATGATGGGGATGATGATGATGATGATGATAATGATAATGATATTAATTATGGCCATAGTATTAGTTGCGATAATAAAGATAATGATAATGATAGTAATTATGGCCATAGGATTAGTAGCGATAATAAAGATAATGATGGTGATGACGATTATAATGATGATGATGATAATGATTAAGATGATATCAATAGTGATAATAAGGAAAAACAACAACAATAATAATAATGATAACAATAATAATATTAAAAATGATAACAATAATAATAAAGGAAAATAACAATAATAATGATAATAATGGGGATAATAATGATAGCAATAATAATAGTAGTAAATAAAACAGCAATGAATGATGATAAAAAAATAATGATAAGGAATGCTAATGATTACAGCAATGATGATGATAATAAAAATACTGATAATAATATTAATAATTATTATAAATATAATGATAAGGATAATAATAATAAAAAATAATGACCAAAATTGTAGTAAATATAAAAATGTTAAAAATGGTAATAAAACACAATACCAATAATTATAATAAGATTTCGATAGTAGATACACAGACAATTCCAATAATAAGGAAAACAAGTTACACTTATATTGTGTTGCCATTATCATAATTATAGTAGCAACAGGTGCTGCTACTATCGTCGTTATTATCACCCTAAAAAAAAGAACTTACCCGGTGTCTTATGGTTTTCTTTTAATATTAAGTCTTTGACATGGAGTTCTTTGTTCCATACACGTGGCTTTTAGTTTTACACAAAGGACGTTCAGTTATAACAGAACTGGCTCTCATTTCTCTTCGGACTGGCTCTAAGTTATCTTAAAAAAAAACATTTTTCATACAGCTGGGCTCTCAGTTCTCATACAACTAGCTCTCGGTTCTTCCTATCGTTTTACACTAGTATTTTGATGATGATTATTGGTATTGCTTTTGTTGTTGTTGTTCTGGAGCTTACAGTAATTATTATCCCATTAATATAATCATTACTGATATTATTATTATTATTATTATTATTATTATCATTATTATTATTATTATTCTCATTATTATCGTTATTACTATTATTACTATTATCATTATCATTAGTATCATATTGTTTATTACCATTATTATCATCATTATTATTATCACCATCACCACCGGCAGCATTATCATTATTATTACTATTTTATTATCAATATTACTTTCATTACATCTAATATCACATTCGATCATTATTATTATCATTATTATTATATTTATTATATTTTTGTTCATCTTTATTTTTATTGCTATTATGATTATCTATCATTATTATCGTTATCTTTGTTGATATTATTAACAATATTATCAATACTATTATCATCATCATCATCATCATTATTATTATATTATCATTATTATTATTATTTATTTTATTATCATCATTATTACTATTACTTTTATTATCATGTTATGATTTTTGTATTATTATCAGTATCATCATTATCATAGTTTTATCACTGTTATCATTTTTACTATCATTATTTTCTATATTGTAACTATAATTTTTATCATTATCATCATTACCATTACAAATATTATCATTCTCATTATTATTGTTATTTCTATTATTACTATAATAAAGTAGTAGCAGTATCATTATTGATATTATTATGATAAAATTATGGTCATTGTAATTATCATTATCCGTTTAAGTAGTAGAATTGCTAGAATTTACATTGTTATTATCAGTATCATTATTCTTATTAGTAGTAGTACCAATACAATTATTATTGTTAATTAAGTATTGTTATCATTATCATTAATATTTGTCTTATCATTATCATTATTTTTATTACTTATAGCATTACTATTATGATATTTATTTCATTATCATTATTACTTTTATTTTTATTATCATCTTTATCATTATTGTTACTGTAATTATTATTTTTATCATCATCAGTACTATTATTATTTTTATTTTTATTTGTTTCAATATTATTATTCCATTAATGGAAATCAAAATTATTATCATAATCATTATTATCATTTTATTATTTTATCATTTTATTGTCATTATACTGATGTTATTATCATATGTATTTCATTATTTGTTGTTATTTATAGTGTAGTAGTATTGTTGCCCTCGTTGTTATTATCATCACCATTCATCATTATGTTATCCTTACTATTATATTATCATTATGTTATTATATTATTATCATTATTAAATTATAATTATTGTTATTTTCATTATTATCATTATTATTATTATTATTATTATTATTATTATTATTATTATTATTACTATTATTAGTATCATTATCATCATTTTTATTATAATTGCCATTATTATTATTATTGTTATTGTTATTATTATTATTATTATTATTATTATTATTATTGTTGTTGTTGTTGTTATTTTTATCATGGTGGTTATTATTGTTGTTATCAGTATTGTCATTATTATTATCATCATCATTACTATTGCTGTTGATATTATTATAATCATTATCGTTGTTGCTGTTATCATTATTCATTTTTTTATTACCATTAACATTATTATTACTGTTATAATTATTATCATTATCATTATTATCATTATCATTATTATTATGTTACTTTTATTATCATTGCCATTGCTATTATCATCATTATCATTATTATTATCATTATTCTTATTATCATCACTGCTGTTATTTTGATATCATCTTTATTGTTAATACTGTGCTTGTTGTTGCTGCTGTTGTTATTGTTCCAGTTTCATCTTTAGTGTGTGTAAGCGTATTTATGTATTCTATGTATTTGTGTTTATGCGTATGTACTTCCTCGCATTAGATTGTAAGGTTTCGATATATATATATATATATATATATATATATATATATATATATATATATATATATATATATATATATATATATATATATATATATATATATATAATATATATTACGTGTGAATAGGAGAAAGTCAGTGCATAATGTTTATCAGTTTACTGTTTATTCTAATTATTCATCTATTCAAGCAATTTTTTTTACTCATAAGTATGTACTGCAAAAGTATATGTATCAGAAGTACACATATTAATTTTTAATAGCCGTAAGAGAAAAAAAAAAAACTATCTAAAGAAAAGATGTTAATAGATGATGAAACTCAGGTGTCAGTGAGCGTAAATAATACATTTAGCAACAACTTGTCAATGACTATCTAATGTTCATGGAATGTATTTTTGCATCTCTCTCTCTCTCTCTCTCTCTCTCTCTCTCTCTCTCTCTCTCTCTCTCTCTCTCTCTCTCTCTCTCCTCTCTCTCTCTTTCTCTCTCTCTCTCTCTCTCTCTCTCTCCTCTGGTCTTTTCTCATGCATTGGTTATTCTAGTTATTTTCCTATTTATATTCAAAGCTATTTTTTGAAGTATGCACAGCGAAAGTGCATTTAAGCGTGTGAAACATTCTGGAGCGATCTGAATTGCTCTAAAAGGAGAAAGTATCCGAGAAAGTGAACAGACCTGATTGATCTGTCTTTAGGTCTTTTGTTCTCGGAACTTATCTAGGCCTAATTTAGTCTTTATCTCCCCTCTAAGCCACTCCTCCCGCTCCTCCCCTAACTCTGCTCTTTCCTACTTTCATCCTTTTCTCTTTCCCTCTAATCACCAAAGAGAAATCACATAATAAGTATAATAATCATCACGATTCTCCTCCAATAACAAAAACATACCAAGTCGCATGCTTATTACCCCCTAAAAAACTTGCAATTGCTTAGTCACCGTATCTGAGGAAGGAAATGTCTAGAGTTCAGTGACCTTCCCCCACGCATGAGCCAGGTCTGAACATGGAGGCTGTTGGGGTGCCTTAAACAGGACGGGGCCACCGGTGAACACAGCGATAGATGAAGAGAGAAGAGAGAGACACAGATAAAGAGTTGGAGAGAGAGAGAGAAGGAGTGAAAGGATATATAAGACCTCCACCTACCCCGTCACCCAATGTTTCCTGGATGACGACGCTGGTAAGTCTTGTTGACTTTGCTGTGATGCCTATGCATGCTCGGTGCAGATGCATGAAACTATGTTCGGGTACGTGTGATTATATGCTGGCATGTTTAGTCATCTGTGTAATTATATCATTTTCTTTCTCTTGGGGGGAGGGGTGGGTCATTAAAAAATCCCTCTCTATTTATCTATCTTTCTATATTCGTCTGTTTAATACATGCACACAACATATACATAACATACACACACAAATAAGCGCGCACGCCCACACACACAAATATAAGCACACGCACACACACACACACCCACACCACACACACACAATAATAAACACATTCCCACAAACGCACACACACACACACACACACACACACACACACACACACACACACACACACACACACACACACACACACACACACACACACACACACACACACACACACACACACACACACATACACATACACATACACATACACAAACACACCCAGATACACACAAAAAACACGTCGGCGCTTCTTTTCGGGTAAGAGAGCTTGGGAAAGTGTTTGCAAACACACAAAAAGAGTTGAATGCTATTCCTAATGCCTTATCTCACCTCTTGACGTCAGTTCACATAAATGTAAATGACTGATGCTGAAAGGTAAAGTAGGAGTTAGAAATGATGTTTTCCTGTTTTGTAACTCGTGTGGTCGACCCTACTCAGATTCAGGCTTGTATAAGTGGATATGTATATATATATATATATATATATATATATATATATATATATATATATATATATATATATATATACAAGTATATCTGTATATATTACACACACTCATACACATATACGATACATATACATATGTGTGTGTTGTGTGCATGTGCGTGTGTTTGAAACATGGATATGTGAGCTTTTATGTGTAGCAGTGTATGTATTATCACTGTTATTTCCCTTTATTCCATCTTTTTTTTTCATGACGCTTATATGGTGATGTTTTCTATGTGTTAATTTTTGACAAGTATTAATATCTAACTTCTTATCTTGTTGTCAGGTCCTGATATACATCCTTCTCTTCGTTGCACCTGCTTTGCCCCAGGGCTACTACCAGCCCGTACAAACAGGTGCAGTATTTGACAAGGGACGATGCGGCCCTGGGCAACTACGACACGTCACCGGCAGATGCGTTACTCCACGCGTCAGTCGTCGTGTGTATTTGTTTGAAGTTCCAGCATTGCCGCCCCGCTCCCACCTTCCTCCGCCTCATATTCCAGAGCCAACCGTAGAAGTTACCGACATGCTCATAAAGATCCCAGAAGGAGGACAAACACCACCTCCTATCATCGTACCCCCTCCGAAACAGCGAGATGTCCTGTACGTTCTTAACAAGCAGACCCAACAGGACCAACAGGTGATCGAAGTCCCAGCCCCTCCCTCTTTCAACCACGAGGTTTACTTCGTTGACTACGCTGACGGCGACAACCCAACTTTGCCGAGTGGATTTGATCTGGCGGAAGCACTGAGAGCCGCATCACTACAACATGCCTCTCTGCTTACTGACGGCGTTTCATCCCCTCATCGCAACAGCCAGGGTGGAAGCAGTGGCTTACTCACCGAGGGAACTTTCTCTAACATTTTCCCTGGCAAGTTCAGTCTCGACTTTGATGACACAGATTTTCCTGTTAACGAAATTCCAAGTATATCTAGCCTCGCTGACTTGGATTTGAGTCTTACGGCCGTTTTGAATGGTCACGATGATATTGGATTCAATCCCGACCAATTGCTTACCGATGGCGGGAGTCCTGGGAATAATGGGATATACGACACCACCTTTGATATTGAATTTGATTTTGAAAATAATGAATTCGCTATTCATGGCCCATCGGAAATAGCAAGGCCACCAGCGCCCATTCCTATACGCCCACCGGCAAGCATCGAATACCCTGAGTAATAGTTATACAAAGTGTTTGATATCCAAGTTTTCGGTACCAAATGCTCAAATCTTTCTTGTTTCTACATCTGCTCAAATCCGCACTCACGTCCTTACACCAGGTCTCATGCCAATACAAGTTCTTACACTCTGAGTTCTAGTCAGCCCCGCCCTCATTGGCTCAGTCCCAAACACTCGAAAGTTATTGCATATGCCATGCTTGCCACATTGACTTTCCCAAGAACAAGACGTTATTGTAATTTTTGTTATCAGTCTTTGTGTAGTCGCTTTATCTGTTAACAGTGTGCTGCAGGCAACACCACTGAACGTGAATTGTACCTAATTGTCTGTATCCTTACTATACTGTAGTAATACGTAAAATGGTGACGTGTATATCATAAGTTCTAGATAGTATGAATGGATTCGTTTTAACTTGTGTGTTCTTCACCCTTGCAAATTAACCAATATAATCGTACAGGCAAGAAGACCTTCATTATTCGCACACATACGCAGAAAAAAAAAATTAGTGGTAATGAGTAAGATAACTATCAACATTACTCCAACTTCTGTTGTTATTAATCTGGTTATCATTATTAAGCCAAAAGCATTTACCTATTTGTAATATTAAACTAATGAAAATATTAAAGATGACAGTGAGAATGTTTATAAACCCAGCAACAATGATATTCACAGTGACGGTAATAATACTGACGATTCTGAAAATTATTATAATGATAACGATAACAAAAAGAAAAAAAATAGAGAAAGATGAAGAAAGATGATAAGCCTAATAATGATAATTAATTATATCATAATGATTGCAATCCCCGTCATCATCATCAACATTATTGTTTTTGTTATTCTTATAGAAAATATTATCATCATTGTTATTAGCTTTATTAATATCATTATTACTATCAATTTTATGAGTATTATCATAATTATTGTTTTAATTAATAACATCATTGTTCTTATTGTTTTTGATTTTGTAACTGTTTTTATTATCATCATCAGTATTGATATTATTATTATTATCATTATTGCCATTATCATATATTATCATTATCATCATATATCATATAATCATCATTATCATCATCCTTATTATCGATATAATCATCATTATCACCTTCCTTATTATCGTAATCATCGTCAGTATCGTCATCATCATCATCAACATTGCCATCATTATCATCATTAATAGCTTTATTATTACTATCATTATTATCATTATCAGCATTACTGCTGTTATTATTGATATTGTTATTGATATCATTATTGTTATCACTATTCATATTATTGTCATTTTCCCAATAGTTACTGTTATTATTTTTATCATAATATTTTTCATATCAATAAGGATAATTCATATAATAGTAATAATACCAATAGCAATGATAAGAGAAATAAGCGTATATATTTCTATCTCATGAATTAATAATCATTTCTTTGATGTTATTTATTATATTATTTTATATTTAAAATAAAAAAAATACCACACACTAAATAGCGTATGATGAGTAGTATTTATTTTTAGTAGTAGTAGTAAAGGGGATAATATATATAAAAATAAATTATACTATATTTATACATACAATACGTATAGGATTTATAGCGAGTAGATAATATAACTAAATACAAAAAAAAACAATAAATTTAAAAATATTTGATTTAAAAATATATATTAAACTGGTTGTGGCCTATATAATGTCGTGTATAGTACTTATGTCCTTACCCCTATAATAAAACTCTTTCCATCAATAATAATATATAAAATTTAAAAATTTATTCAACTTTTATTTTTACATAATAAAAATAATATAAAATTAATATAAAAAAACAATATAGGTATATATGGGTAAAATATAAACAATAAAAAATACAACAATATAAATTTTTTATTTTTATTTTATTTGTATTTATGGTTTAAAAAATAAATAATGGAGGGGGTGGTGAGGGAGTTATTATCTATATGGTTATAAATATATTAATAATACTATATAATAAATACATAAATAAATATTATATATGTAGTTTTATAATATATAGAAATATATGAGTATATATTAGTAGGTATAATAATAGAGAAAACGAATATAAAAAGGGATAGTGAGTAGTGAGTGGGGTATATATACATTAGGGTAATATAACACAGAAAAGGTAAAGGGAAAAAATCTCTTTCTTATTGATGTACTTTGGTTTGTATTAAATAGATATAAAAAAAGAATATAATAAATAAATATAAATAAAATAAATAATATCAAAATAAAATATAATAAAAATATAAATAAAAATATAATATATAGATAAAATAAAAAATAAAATATAAATAAATAATATATAATAAAAATATAAATATCATAAATTAATAATATAATATACTATATTATAATAATATAAATAAATAAATATCAAAAAATACATAAAATTATAATACATGTAAACATAATACAATAAATAAATAAATAAATAAATAATAAAAAAAAAATAATATATATTAAAATAAAATAAATATAATTAATATATAAAATAATATAATTATATAAATAATATATGTAATGTAATAGAAAAATATAAAAAAATAATATAGTAATAAAACAAATAAATATAAATATAATTAATATATAAAATAAATATAAAATATATATATAATATATGTAAATATAATCTAATATATATAATAGATAAATAAAAAATATATATATTAATAATGAATAAAAAATAAAATATATATATATTATATAAACTATATATATATTTAATAATAAATATAAAAGTAAGATAATAGTATAAATAATTAATAAAAAAATAATAATAATATATAATATAATAATAAATATTAAATATAAAAAAAATATAATAGAAGATAATAAAAAGATTATAATAAAATAAATAAAATATAATAATAATATAATAATAATATAATATATATATAATATTAATAACACACCACACAACACACCACACAACACCAACACACACACCACAACACACAACACACACACACAAACAACAACACACACACACAACACAACATCACATCCTACTATCTATCTACCACAACGCTATATAAAATATACATTAATATAATAATAGGCAATAATAAATTCTAAATTTACCAAAGTGAAAATATAAATAAAATACAACACACACAAAACACAGACACATTACTATGATAATGCAAAATAATATATTAAAATAAAAAATTATACTAAATAGTTTATATATATAATTTAATAAAAATAATATAATAAATAAATATAATATAAATATAAATTAAAATATAAAATTATTGTTAAATATCCATAAAAACACAACGAATATATGAATATGAATATACAATAACAAATACACACACACACACACACACACACAACACACACACACACACACACCAAACACAGACAAACACACACACAAACACACACACACACACACAACTTATCTATCTATACACTATCATATTAGTGGCTGTGTGTCCGATAATGTGTGTAAGATGTGTTAATTAAATATATTATAAATCCTTTATATATAATATAATTATAAATATAATAATTACATTAGATAAAATATAATAATAAATCATATATTATATAAAATAAATAAAAAAGTAACAATAGTAATTAAAATAAATAATAATATATATACATATAAATGTAATTAATAAATAATATAAATTATTATAAATAATATATATATATATATTATATTATATAATTAATAATAAAAAAAAATAAAAAAAATTATATATAATAATAATATTAATAAATAATATAAATAATATATAGTGTGATAGTAGAAAGAAAATAGTAAGTGATATAAAATAAAATTTGTATGTGTGTTGTGTGAGTGTTTTTAAAAAAAAACAATGACACGGTAAAGAAATAGATAACAATTAATAAAATAAGTGTTCTAAAATATTAGCTATAAAATCTGAATGTGATTTTATTTGTTGTGTGGGTGTGTCGAATGTGTGTAGTGTGTGAATATGCTGTTGTGTGTTTTTGTGTGTTTATTACAAATAATTATAAACGACAATAATATTGGAAGAATACACAATTGCGTGAAGTTAACTATTAAAAATTAAAAATATAACATTTAACAATAACACTATCGACAAAAATGCAACACAAAACATCACAATACATATAACACTCTTACTGCTTATCGCACGCATATACTCACTAGAAGGATCACACAACTTAAGCAGACGAACGCAGATGTCGTATACAGCGACACACAACTCACACTACACCATCACATCTCAACCTACACTATCTACTTACACACGCTACCACTCTATCTATCATCATCATCTATCTATCATCTCTATCTACTATATCTATTTTTGGAATAATTATTTTTTTTTATTTTTATTATTTATTATTTTTATATAATAAAATTATTTAGTATTCTTACTTATATTAAATTATATATGTAGGTATGTATTGAGTTAATACATATATAGTTTGAGTATCGATTGAGGTGTATTGATATAGTAATATTATATAATATCTATTAATGAAATCATCAAAAAATAGATATACCCAAAAAGCGAAAATTACCAGCAACACGTTCACCTCTCTCTATTATCTGTGCTCTATAATATAATCAATGCAAAACGTATATGTAAAAAGTCAAAAGTTAATCATTGAAAAACTACTTCCTAGATAGAAGCATTCTTCGAAACATCTTTAGACTGAATTAAGTAAGAAAATTAACTTAAGATATAACGATTCCATATTTCTTATCTCGTACTAATAGATTACAAGCGATAATTGCTATTCTTAATAATACGATAATTACACATACAAAACACGGACAACATGTGCGACTGCGCACACATATTCTATAACATAGCTAGGTAACACACGAGCGATACACACAGATATGTGATGTGACAATGTTTTTGACTGTCATTGTACTTCTCTATGTACATATCCAGACAATAAACACAAAACAACCACAAATGCCAAATAACTAGACAAAAACAGAAGAAACACGCACATACAAGCAAAGAATAATAACTATAAATCAATAAATACTATCAATGAACGTTACATTTTAATAAAAATAGATAGAATGAGAAATGGAATATATAATAATAACTGAAAAATAAATATGATATAAACAATACCAGAAATATAGAAGTTTCATTGATGTGTGTAGTTATGTTCTGTAATATGTAGTTTTCTATATCTATGACATACATTTAAATGAAGATTTGATTGAAAAAATAAAGTGTGAGAGTTTTTGTGTGTACAAATGTAATGAGAGTTATGTAAGTGTGCTTTTTTTTAGTGATTAAATATGATGATGATGTGTGATAACACAACAAATATTCAAATAATATAATACAGTACAATTTGTAAAGAAAAAATCAATCCACTGCAAAATACAATAAAAAGGTAAAATAATTAAAGAATATTGAA